ATATATATATATATATATATTATTATTATTATTATTATTATTATTTTTATTTGTATTTTTTTATTTTTTTGCTCAAATATATTTACTATATTTAGCTTTTTTATGTTTATAAATGAAAATATTTTATCCCAAATAATTGAATAATTCCAAATAGAATGGAATAAATAGTCAAATAATTCATCACTATGAATGACTTTAAAAATACATTTTTAAATATACAAAAAAGTATGACTAATGTAGTTTACATTTATTTTGAAACTATATAACAATTGTATTACAAACTATACAATTAAAAAAATATTTACTTAAGTATAAACATACTTATTTATTTATTTGTTTGTTTGTTTGCTTGTTTGTTTTGTAAAGACCAAAAATTTAATAAAAGAATCCTTAAGTCATACTGTTTGCAACTGTTTAAATGTTTATTTGATATTTATATTTATATTTGAAGTATATTTTAGCCCAAAAATGCTTTTATAGTTTATATTCTATATGCAAAAGTATAATTTGCCAAAATTATTCCCAAACATTTCCAGCGAATCTTCTCACTTGTCTCCTTATGATAATCGTATTGAGAAACTAGTCAGAAGTTTTCCAGTACTTTTGGAGGAGTATTCTGGAATTATATCTAGTGAAGGTTACAGACGGGAGGATCGTAATCTAATAATATAGAACAAAGTTTGAGTGGTGAAAACGTTCGCTTGTGTTCTGTATTCGATGCACTTTTCGGGACGAAAAATACTTTATATTATACAGCTGATGTGCTCAAGATTGTTTAGTGTTGACTTTAAACTTTAAAGCCCTCACATCTTGAACAAAAAGACTTCCTCTGAGTGTCCTTTATGTCAGTGTTGTTTAGCATTTTGAAGGACGTCCTCACATTATTGCTGGTAATGTTTCTCTGTGCAGCTTTAATGGCTGTCAAGTACATTAGGTCACATCGCAGTAACAAATTGTCTTGTAAATCGTTTTTTACTTTATATCGATCCGTCCAGCATTATAAAACTAAAAAAAGTTTTCATTTTCAAATAGTCCATTTCTGTCCAGCACTGAATCTCAGTTACCGTCCACCTCTCCAAGGGACCAACTAACCCTAACCCAATGGCTTTCATTACTGGGGAAGTTTAGTGCATTGCCAGAAGGAAGTAAGCTGAAGTTTGACATAATTTTGTCGTTTGGGACTTTGGAGAAAGTCTTCCACTGCAGTAGTGTTCTTCAAAACATACTGACGCTTTTTAGTCATGGAAATATACTTTTAAGTTGTGTGCAAAGTTGTCTGGTGGGGCGGAATGAAACTTTTCCTGACCTGTCACGGCTTACAATTTAAAAAAGTTGTATTTATTTATTTATTTGTTGTTATTCTTTTCTTTTAGGTGTTGCAGATTTCTTCAGAAAATTAGAATCCATGAAATTCTAACATATAAGCAAAGGACTTATTACACTGAAAAAAATGTTTCATTCATCCAATTAAAAAAATAATTGGCAAGTTATTTATTTTTCATTGGCTCAAGTTAAAAAGTATAGATGTGAATCATTACCCTAAATTTTTTTAATTGGATGAATGAAACATTTTTTTCAGTGTAGGTTTGTTTTGTTTTTACATTTTAAATGATTATAATATCACAATATTTTAATTAGTTTTTATTGTCATTAATTATTTTTAAATTGATTATTTTAATTATAGTTATATAATAATGCAAATAAAAAATAATTGTATTTTTAATAATTGTATTTTAATATTTTTTATTTAGTCCAGTATCAGACAGAAGTGTGTGGTTTATGATGTTCTTAAAGTCTCAGAAATGATTACAATTATCGCAATTGCAATTTGTGATACTAATTATAATAATGAGTTGAGCTATTTCTATATATGTTTTGTTGTTGTTGTTTTATAATTGTGAATAACTATTAAAGTATTCCACTTAGTTATATAAATATTATAATTAAAATGTTTGTTTATTTGTTTATTTATTTGTTTGTTTGTTTATCATTGTTTATTATTGTATTCATTGATAATAATAATGTAGATAATTATTAAACTGTTCATTACTTATATATGAATTACATATTGAATTAATATTTTAATCTCAATAAATAATATGTATTATAATATGTATTATAATATTTTAATTTGTTTTTACTGATTTGTTTTTATCATAAATAATTTGTGTCTTAGTTATAATAATAATAATAATAATAATAATAATGTTTACAAAAATGCCAGTAATTATTAAACTGTTTTATAACTATATATTTCTATCTCAATAACAATTCAATATATTTTTGATGGAATTGTGAATAAATATAAATGTTTTATATATTATAATATTTGAATCTGTTTTTATTTATTTGTTTTTATCATAAATAATTGTATTTGAGTTAATAATAATAATAATTATAATTGGCTAAATATCTGACAAAAGTGTGAGGATTATAATGTTCTTAAAGTCTGAAAAAGCTTTAGTTCTCAATGAGTTCTTTTCTGGAATTGTGTTTGGATTTGGACCATATTGTTGCTCTGGAGGATGTATTGGATTTCCCTAGATGCACAACTCACTCCTGCACTTTACATCATTGAGAGGATATAATGGAATATTCACATTAACCCAGCATAATACTGTATTGATTTTTAACCATGAGTACATTCCCTAAGTGTCAGTCTGAATGTCCATCAGCGGAGTGGAGCTTCATCTTCAAAAAATCAATAAATTGCTTACATCTCTTTGGAAACGGGGCATTTCCTAAAGAGATATTAAGATGAAACGCATCCACTAGTGGCTGCATAAGATACAAAGAAGACATCGATATGGCATATTGACAGGGTGACTGAGATGAAAAGGGGACCAACACTTTTGATGGAAATGGACATTGGAAAATGGATAGACTGAGTGCGACGAACTGGATTACAATGCTGGGGTTGTTTTGATTTGTTTTGTTTTAGTTTGGTTTGGGTTGTTTTTTTGTTTTTTGTTCATCAACTTAAAAATTATTCACTCAGCAAAAAACCCCCGAAGATTATGATTATTATTATTAAATATTTGTATTATTAATATTTTAACAATTATTCAACATATTTTTTGAAGTTTGAGTAAATATAAATGGAATTAAATAGTTTTATCTCATACTAAAATATAATACAAATAAAATGTAATATCAGTCTTTTTCTGTCACTTCTCTTTAATTACTGAGGTAGTTTGTGTTATGTTATTGTAGTTGGTTTGTTTTGAGAAGTAATTTGAAAAAAATAAATGTAAATATTCGTAATATTTTAAACAATTATTAAAATATTCCAACTAATTATTATTATTATTATTTTGTATTTTATTTTATTAAAAAAAAAAATTCCAGTCACTTCTCTCTAATTTCTGGCATTGGCATCAGACATTGAAAAATATTATGTATTATGTACTTTTTTAAAACTTGTGTCAGCAGGTAGTATTAAGTGGGAGGTTATGATTGTCCTTATGAGGTTATGATTGTCGTTATGAGTGTTATACTGCAATACTTTGTTATGAGGAGCGATATGATTTTTTTCTTCTTCTTCATTGTGTTCTCAACACATCAACTCATTCTCTCATTGGTTGCTCTGGTTTGAATGGCTGAGCATTGGTTCGTGTGTTTTGCAGAGTCACGACTAAATATCCACATTATTGTTGTTTCAGAAGAATGGATGGTTGGATTGAGCTCTCATGAAAGATTCAGCATGCTGCCATGCTCTGACGCATTGAGCACCGCTCTTAATTTGTTGGATGTGGCCTCTCACATCACCGCATGATCCAATTTATTTATTTTGAATTATTTACCATGATCTGCCTCATGTTGGCAGCACGTCGGAGAAAGCTAATTAGCCGAGAACGCTGCCCATAGCTCTTTGAAAGCATACAGACAGACAGAATTCATTCATTACACCTGCTGCGTTTGTTTGCTTGTCTTTAAAATTCTTTGAAATTTAGTAAATATTTGGATATTTTTCAGTATTTTGACTTGATTCAGATAAGTTTTCTTCCTTTAAACATAAAATTGAGTGTAAAAACATACTCGTATCCTCTATTAAGTTTTAATGAGCGAAATTCTCTCTTCATCCAACTTGAAGGTGATTCAAGCCCTAAAGCTATTTGAGGGAAAATCTTAATATTCCAGCCTTGTTCTTTCTAAATTAGAATTCTCTTAATGTCATTTTAAGTCGGGGAATTAGGACTCAAACACAGCATTGTGATTGTCAATTAATCATGCATTATGTTCTCATCATCTCTCATGATAGTTGGATTAGTTGTCGCTGACATTCAGATGAGGGGAAATTGCATTTCTGATTTCCTGTACTCAAATCAGCTCGGATTAGCATGTTGATTATTTCAGAGCAAGGAAATGTGATTTACACCATTGTGCCTTTGATTTAGCCTTGTGGGACTCTGTGAAGAAAAAAAAAGTGTTAAATGTAAGGTTAAAAAACCTGGCAGGTGCAGTTGCTGGAAAAATGTAACATTTATTGGTAAAATAGTAATATGCCAACCTACAAAACTACAAAAGTATGGTTTGATATGTGATGCATACACAGGGGCTCCCAACACATTGAAGAAATTAAAATAGCAGTAGCAGAACACATTCATGTTTTTGTCATATGCTGCAATTACCAAAATTCAGTAAATATATGAAGTTATTCATATAAATATGATGATTGTGAAACGCTCTATACCTTAAACTGAAAACGTCACTATCATGGGTTTTTGAATATTCTTTTTTATTTATTTGATTATTTTTTTAATGAAATAATTTGTTTTACAAAGTTTAGTTTGATTTTATTTTTTGTTCTTTAATTTGTGCCATGTTTAGTTTGACTTTGTTGTGCCAGTGTGTTTGCTGGAAACGTTAAAAATAGGTAAACAGTAGTAAATTAGTAAATTTTATTGGTAAAATATTAATATACCAACCTACAAAACAAACTACAACAATATGCTTTGCACCTTAAAATAAACTGAAAAAGTCACTGTCACTGTTTTTTTTTTAATGCAACTTTACAGTAAAAAAAAAAAAAAGGCAGGGATGGTAAAAAAAATAAAAAATAAACATGAGTAAACATTTGTTGGTAAAATATACCAACTTACAAAACAAACTACAAAACTTCAAAAATATGCTTTGTACCAAATCCTTGTTTTCTGTTAAACATTTTAATAAATGTTTTGAAGTCTGAATACGGTGTAAAAAGTACAGTTTCTAAGTAAAACATGTTATAGTTTAGTTTATCTAAGAGCTCAGGTTTTGTTTTACACAGTTATTGTAATGAGGAAATTCAGATTAATGCTTTGTTTGTTTGTGTATGCAGATGAAAAGACATGTGGGCCGCATGAATTTCGCTGCAAGGACAACAACTGCATACCGGACCACTGGAGGTGTGACGGGCAGAGCGACTGTAGCGACAATTCAGACGAGGAGAACTGCAGTACGTGATTCTGTATTTAATCTCTTATTTAACTTGTACAAAGTTATGCAGTGAATAGTTTAACAAACACGTCCTCTGTAGATGAGGCTGTCTGTGACAGCAACTCTCCTTGTTGAATGAAAATCCAAATGTGTTATTTTTGATAGTGTTTGTATTTTGTTTTGCTGTAGTTTGGCGTGTTTTATTGCTGTGATGTGTATTGTTTCGTGTAGTTTCATTGTTTTATGTTGGTTAGTTTGATTTAGTTTCATTGTGCCTTGTTTAGATTTTAGTTTTGTTTTAGTTTTAGTGTGCCATGTTTAGTTTAGTCATTGTGCTATGTATTGTTGTTTTGTTTAGTTTTGTTGTGCTTGTCTTATTTAGTTTAATTGTGCTTTGTTATTTAGTTTAGTATGTTTGGTTTCATTTTTTAAGTCTCATTGTGCTGTGTTGTTTAGTTACTTTTGTTTCATTCTGTTTAGTTTTATTGTGCTATTATTTAGTTTAATTGTGCTTTGTTATTAAGTTTAGTTAGTTTTTTTTTTGGTTTAGTTTTGTCTAGTTGCATTCTGTTTTTTTGTTGTTTAGTTTAGTTTTATTGTGCTATTATTTAGTTTAGTTTTATTGTGGTTTATTTTTTAGTTTTGTTTCGTAGTGCTGCATTGCTTAATTTCATTGTGCTGTTTTGTGTTTAGTTTATTTTGGCTTAGTTTTGTTTAGTTCAGTTGTGCTACATTGTTTAGTTTTATTGTGCTGTTATTTATTTTAGTACAGTTAAGTTGAATTGTACTGTTTCGTTTGTTTGGTTTAGTTTTGTTTAGTGTCACTGTTGTTTAGTTACTTTTGTTTAATTTCGTTTAGTTTTATTGTGATGTTATTTAGTTTAGTTTCTTTGTGCTGCTTTGTTTAATTTCATTGTGCTGTTTTGTGTTTAGTTTATTTTGGTTTAGTTTTGTTTAGTTCAGTTGTGCTTCATTGTTTAGTTATATTTGTGCCGTTATTTATTTTTGTTCAGTTTAATTGTGCTGTTTCGTTTGTTTGGTTTAGTTTTGTTTAGTTTCACTGTGCTGTGTTGTCTAGTTACTTTTGTTTCATTTTGTTTAGTTTTATTGTGATGTTATTTAGTTTAGTTTCATTGGGCTTGCATTGTTTTGTTTAGTTTAGTTTCATTGTGGTGTGTTGTTTAGTTAGTTTGATTTAGCTTAGTTTCATTACCCTGCATTGTTTAGTTTCATTGTGCTTTGTTGTTTTGTTTAGTTTCATTATGCTGTTTTTTTTTTAGTTTTGTTGTTGTTTTTAGTTTAATTGTGCATTTTGTCGTTTAGTTTCATTGTGCTGTTTTGTTATTTAGTTTACGTCACTTCATTGTGTTATTTATAGTTTCATTGTGTTCTGTTTTGTTATTTAGTTTATGCCATGTTTTGTTGTTTAGTTTCCTTGCGTTTAGATTCATTGGGCTGTATTTTGTTGTTTAGTTACTTTGTGCTTTGCTTTGTTGTTTTGTTTGGTTTCATTATGTCGTGTGTAGTTTCATTGTGCCGTGTTTCATTATTTAGTTTAGTTTCAGTTTTCTGTTTTGTTTAGTTTAGTTTCAGTGTGCTCTGCGTTGTTTACAGTTGTTTAGTTTAATGCTGTAACCATGCTCTAATCTTCTTGTCTCTTTTGACATCTGAATGCTTTGACATTTAAGTACATTCAGCTTTCATATGTTCCTCTTATCACACTTGGCTCTAACACTACTAGACATACAGGCACAGCAGGGTTTCTAAAAAAAAAAGAACAAAAAACAGATTGATATCACACTCCGCAGTGTGTGCCACATAGATGTTGAATCCTCAGAGAGGGATTTACAAGCTAATGCTGGTGCGTAAGTGTGTGACACTGAGCCGTCTTTTTCTTCTAAAGAGCACATGGGTCTCAAACAGTGTCCAAAAGTGCTTCATCACTCTGTGTGTGACTGTTGTCTCAAATCTCCATATTTATTCCCTATTTTTCCCCTGATGGCTGAGTCATTATATAGACACAGAACAAGTTCTCCAGTACTCAGACCTCCTAAAGCCCAGTGGATCTCATCACACTTCAGCTGTGTCTTCAGCCTCTAGCTTCACACTTTCAAAGGAGAGTGAAACACACAGTGAGAATGAGATTGTGCGTTGATTGCTCTGGAAGTTTATGTGTCGCCCAAGTAGTGATTATATAAATTTCCCTGAAATGCAGACAGGTATTTTCCCTGTCTTTCGGGATGTTGCTTACTACTGTCCGCTGGAGTGCAGCTGAATGTTTTTTGTCAGCCCTGTGACATTGATTGACAGTTAGCGGAGAAAGTGTCCCACTGAATGGCAGAATCGATCTCTCACACTGATCTGCAATTTGGTTTTAATGGCAGCGGTCCTGTTGCTCCAGGCATTGGAGCCTGTGATAAACGGCCATGTATGTTGCTTTGTTTTTCCGCTGTGGCGTGAGCTCGGACCATTTATTTACTAGATTACAGAGCCACTGCCATCATTTATTCAAAATGTGATCATGATGTAAGTCAGACTTGTGCTGTTGTGTTGTTTCTCCTTTTCTTTCCTGTCTGTTTTTACTTTACATCTTTTACTTTGTTTTTCCTTTTGTTTTGTTTTACTTCTATCCATTTCCTTTTCCTCCTTCCCTTCCCATTTGTCTTCCTAGTGTTTATCCTTTTCCCCTTCCCTTTCCCCTCTGGTTTTCCTTTTACTTCCTTTTACTTTACTTTTCATTTCCTTCGTTTTTTTCCTTCCTTTCGTTTTGTTTTACTTTTAATTTTCATCTTTTTTCTTTTCTTTCTGATTCCTCTTTCCATTAACTTTCCTCTTCCTCCCATTCATCTTTCCCTTCTTTAACCTGTTTTCTTTTGCAGTACTTCCTTTTACTTTGCATTTAATTTCCTTTGTTTTTCCTTTTAACTTACTTTGATTTTCTTCCTTTTTCCTTCCCTTTCCTGTTTCCCTTCACGTTACCCTCTTGTTTTCTCTCTTCCTTTTACTTTACTTTTCATTTCCTTTGTTGTTCATTTTCTTCCTTTTCCCTTCTTTCCTATTCCTCTTTCCCTTCCCTTTCCTCTTACTCCCATTCATAATTTTCCCGATCTTTAACCTGTTTTCCTTTGTCTATTTCCTTTGATTTTCCTTTTGCCTTACTTTGATTTTCTTCCTTTTTTCCTTTCATTTTCTGTTCTTCTTTTCCAATCCCATTCCTCTTCATCTTCCTAGTGTTAATTCTGTTCCCCTTCCCTTTTCCCTGTTTTTTTCTTTCCTTTTTTTTACTTTACATGTATTTTTCTTTGTTTTTGCTTTTAATTTTCTTCCTTTTTCCTTCTCTGTCCTTTTCCTCTCCCTCTTTCCCTTCCCTTTTTTCTCTTCCTCGTCGTGCCATTTACCCTTTTCCCATTGCCTCCCCCCTCAGTTTTTCCATTATTTCCTTTTACTTAAAATTTTCCTGTGAGTTTTCGTGTACTTTCCATTTTCCTTTTCCTTTTCCTTTTCCTTTTTCTTTCTTTCTTTCTTTCTTTCTTTTCCACCTCCTTTCCTTTGAAGTTGCGCTTGAACCTACTAGTTGCCATTTGTCTGAAACATATGATGGTACACAACCTACTCAAAACAAATCAGTGCCAGTTTAACGCAGCTGTTGGCTCAGCATTATTTACTAAAGATCAACATTGTCTTGAAGGTTTCCCAGCTGTCACGTCAGACTTGTAGATTTCATAAGCTGTGATTTTATGTGCAGTCAGTCTCCCTACCACTTTTTTTTCCCGTCCCTCATTCTTTCGCTATCAATCTCTCCATCTCTTTCAATTAAAAGTGAGCTCACGGATCCCTCACTGATCTACATCACAACAGACACTAATACAAACATGTTATGTATTCAGTATCAGCATGCTGCATTTCCCTAGAGCCTTAATGAACACAGGCTACTGAAGAGTGTTTGTTAGACTCAAGCTTACATTTTAGAGTCTATTTGTGTACAAAAGGTTCTATTTTTGCATGATTTCGCTCTGACAAGAGAGAAAATATGACTCATATATGGTCACCTATTAATCTAGAGATGAATTCCCGCTCTGAAGTATGTGTGCGTCTTGCAGTAATATCCTGGTGTATTTGTTCACTTGCTGGGTGGGAGTGAATCCAGACAGAGATTCGATTTCTTTTCATCTGTTGGATTCACCTTGGGAGCCTCACACAGAAACATCACTGGGAGGATATAAAAGCTCTCATTGGGTCGTGAAGTTGTGATGTCAGGGCAGATAATCTGCAGAGAGCTGGAGCCAGATGCAGAGAGACTGATAATAGAGTTAGAGGAGTGACACAGCAGCGCTCACTTATTGTGATCAAGGAGATCTGTGCTCCATCTGTTCTTTCTTTCTTTCTTTCATGTTTATTTTTCTTGCTTTTAATATCTTTGTTTATTTTGTCTGTATCTTCCATGGACCTTTCTTAGCAGGGGAAGTCGTCATAGTTGGGTAATCTCCTGTAGCAGTGAATGGGGGATTACATCCTTTTTTTGCATTCACATTTGCTCAAATAGCAAAATAAAAACTCAACAATTGTGTTTTCACAACTTTCAAAAAAAAAAAGGAAAAAGGAAAAAATAGAGACCGACTGACAACAGTCAAAAAGAGAATGATGTCAAATTTACTGTCACTCCTAGATGTTGTGGTAGAAACACCTGTTCTTTTTTTTTCTTCTTACGTTTATATTGTTTGTTTGATCATTTTTTACTACTTTGGATCTTTCCTTTGTTCAGTCTTTCATTTGTTTTCTCATTCACTTTCATTTGTTTTTCTCATTAACTTTCGCTTTTAATTTGTTTGCTTATTTGTTTGTGTGTGTGTGTTTATGTGTGTGTGTGTGTTTTAGTTAATTGTCACTTATTCTTTCTGTCTTTTAATTCTGTTTTTCGCTCATTTTATTTGTTTTTCTTTTGTTTATTTACTTGTTTTTCCTTTATTTTTATTTTTTTATTCTCTCATTTTGTCTGTCTTGTGCTTGCTCTTTCTTTTGAGTTATTTCATTCTGTCTCTTTTTATGTTTTTTTCTCTGTAATTCATTTGCTCATTCCGTCTGTCTTTCTTTTGTTCTTTAATCTTTCAGTTGTTTATTTCTTTTTTTATTATTTTGTGTTTATTTCATTTGTTTGTTAATTCTCTGTCTTTTTGTTTGCTTTGTTATTTACTGTTCTGTTTGTTTTCTGTCAATCATCTGTTCACTTGTTGTGCTTATTTGTTTGTTCTGTATGTCTGATTTTCTTTAGTTATTCCATATACATTTTTTATTTGTTTTGTTTGTTTGCCTTTTATTTCTGTTGTTCGTTTACCAATTCTGTCTTTTTTATCTTTTTCTTATTTACTTGCACTCATTTTCTCATTTTCACATTTTCTCCATGGCATTTCTTAGGCTTCCTGCCAGATCGTACCTAAGAAAGTCTGGATATGTCGTTCTGTTCATAACAATAAAAAAAAAAAAAAAACATTTAGCCATTTGTTTGTTTGTTTTACTGCTGCCAAAAGCTTATTTCACTTTCACAGTCCTTGTTTCCAATAGTAAAAGAAGTCCAAATTCTGAATCCATCCATGTCTTTCTCTCGTCTCTTTTCAGAGCCAGTAACATGCAACTCAAAAAATTTCATCTGTGCCAACGGAGAGTGCATCTCCTCTCGCTTCCGCTGCGACGGCGACTTCGACTGCACCGATAACTCTGACGAGGTTTCAAGCACCACATTCATCAATTGCTAAACATCATTCATCTGGATCCTGATAGAGTTCTGATATCCTGTACGTGTGCTTTCAGAGAGGCTGTGAGAGCCACTGCTCCGAGGATCAGTTCCAGTGCCTGAATCATCTCTGTATCTCAGTAAAATGGCTCTGTGATGGACAGGAAGACTGCAAAACCGGGGAAGATGAGGCCAACTGCAGCCCTGCCAACACTGCCATGACAGGTTAGCTGCTTTCACACGCTCTTTAAATAATGCAAACGGATCCAGAACCGATCAAAGCTGTTCCCAGACAGCTAGCTTGGCACTCCTATAATCACATGTCACCGAGCGGACACCTTTTATCCAAAGGGAATCATAGGCCTATGACTACACAACGGTGGCTGGAGATCTCTGCACAGCCTCAAACCCTGCGACACTGCCTTAATTTATAACCGCTAAGCTACTTTCGCTTAAAACTGACAGCAAAATGACCCTACATTTGTCATCTTCTGCATTTAAATGTCACCTAAGGAGTTTCATTGCAGGGAACGGCTTGTTCCTCCCTCAGCACCAGACTCCTTAGAGTCTAAAACTGCTGCTTAAGTACACTTGGTGTAAGTGTAGTATACCTGCAAACACTCCGGCCCAATTTATGTTTTAAAAGAGGTTGCTATAAAGAAGTATGTCGTCTTTTGTGGCAAATATTTACGTGCACCCAGAACACCTACCTGTAATGCTTTCACTGCATTTGTATAAGGAGGCAAAATATCATCCTTTCATCTCCCTTTTCATCTATTGCTGAGGAACAGATGGCAAATCCACTTACTCATGATGGATTTTCAATATTCACTTCATCTGTGATGTCAATAGCAAGCTACGTTCCTCCCCAGAGCTTTGAAGTCAAAATGAAGTAGAGTGTTTTTTTTTTTTTCAATTTAAGTCAGTATCTATCTATCTATCTATATATATATATATATATCTATTCCATTTTTATTTAATGGGGGTGGGGATTTCCCCCCCTCTGGTTTATGCATCCCTGCCTCTGCTAAATTATTTTTATCCCCGGTGGGGATAAAAACATCCCGCAATCTCGCTTCGAGGTCCCGATCTTACTCAAATGATTTGCGATACGCGCTTTGAAGTCCCGAATCAAATGATTTGCGATACGCGATCCGATTGGAGCGCTTCGAAACTCAATGGTTTAACTGATTTAGAGTTTCAAAAAGCTCCGTTGATACTGTGTTCTTTGCTCGCGTTCTCTATATAATTTATTCTTTGCTTGAATAACCGTGGAAATGAAATCATTACAATTAATAGGCCTAACTTACAATGTTTTAATAGTTTGTGATCACGTTAAATACAGTTCCTGTCGTATTAAAAACATTTCATGACATGACACCCATTATATGGTACTTGCTTAAAAAGACGGGTTTATGATGTGCGTTATTAACAGATTACACTAGCATTAGATTACTTATGCTACAGCCTTACCCTTATCCACCTATGGAGAGAGAAAAAAGTTTTCAAAAGCATCTCCCCCTCTGCTTTTTTCACAAATCGCACCCTGTATATATATATATATATATATATATAC